GCTCCAGTATAAGATATCCATCTCGGGACTTGGATAGTGCTTTTAGAGTGTGGGTGTGGATGGATGTGGGTGAGTGTGGAAGGGTATGGATGTGGATCTTTAGTTCTCAGCCTATCATGCTCACGTGCACATCCACACCCACACCCACACCCTAAAAGCACTATCCAAGTCCCGAGATGGATATCTTATACTGGAGCAATCAGAACTAAATACGCATAGAACTATCTGGCACCAAGGTGCAAAATCGATTCGTTGTATATTTAAATCGAAAAGATTTGTATCACATGTGGATATCTTCAGGCAAGCGATTAAATGGGTGGGCACTCATGGGACGGCTGACTCAATTATTGATTGCAACGAGGATGAGTTATCTTGCTTTGCTTTATTCCCAGAGAGTTTTGTAGACAATAGATCGAGTTAAGGTCATCATGGCAAAAAAAGATTGAATGAATCAGAGAGAAAGGAGACGATTGTCATGATGGATAGGAGAAAATTGAAGGAATGGAAGGGGAGAAGAGATACGTGAGAACAGAATCGAAAAGAACAACGCTGTAAAATAAAAATAAAATAAAACGAACAAAACATTTGATGCACATATACGTATGTGCATACTCATCTGCGATACATGGTATCTACTCATACACTGGTTTATTAAACTAAGCACGCGTTTAACTCTGTCTTCGAATAAGTGAATACATAATATTGATTAACCGTTTGATACATTAGCTGGAATGAACCGATACTTTCATTTAACCTGCATATTTTCCATGTTCATCATCTCTAGCACAATAGACAGTACAGCTTACAACCAATGTAACCGTACTCATCTCGATGAAGCTCTTCATATAGCACTTGAAGCGCAACAGCAATCTGATAGCAAAAGCACAGGAAAGGAAGATCAGCAACAGACGGACAACAAAAATCAAGGTCTAATAAACACGATAGTCAACCATAACAATAAGATAAAAAACATCGAAAACAAATATAATTTTATTGTCAACAACTACGCCAACTCGAGCCATGTAAAGGAGTACATTGAAAAAACTAAAGAGATCGAAAATCATGTGTTCGGAGCACCTCGTCCACATAGTTCGTGGTGGGAATTCTTGCTGTTATTTATTAGCTGCTGCGCTTTCGATGATCTACTGTGGAAACTAGGGAGGAGGTTTGTGGTGCCAAGATTGGAGAAATGCGTCCGGAAAATGAGTAACGGCAAGCAGACTAGTATTTCATCAATTCCATCAATTAGTGAACGTATATCTACTGGCAAGAGTAGTGATAAAACAGCAATTGAGGAGCTTAAACTCCACTTAGGAAAACAGCGAATCGAAAATAACATGCGACACAATGAACTGATACAAATGATTAAATGTGGTATTAATAATCCAGTTCAAGCAGAAGTTGCTTAAGTCAAGGTGGAGTACGTATGATCGCTGAGTCGTCGCTTGCTTCTTATTCTTATTATTCTTATTCTTATTCTTCTTATTCTTATTCTTCTTATTCTTCTTATTCTTATTCTTATTCTTCTTATTCTTATTCTTCTTATTCTTATTCTTCTTATTCTTATTCTTATTTTTTTTTATTGTATTTATTTATTTCCTTGGTGCAGTACAACTGAGTTTTGTTCTTCCTCACTTGCTTGCATCTCACATAGATAGTCGATACTTGCTAACAGCCGTTTTTTTTTGCTTTTTGTTTTTTTTTGTTGTCTCGTTCCTGCCGTTGATATCTGCTTCACTTATAATAATGTTCTCAAGGATGTCCTCTTTGATTTTTACCATTTTTGTTCAATTCTATTTTATCTCATTTTATTATCGACGTGAAGCTAGCACGACGAGTCGCTACCACAACGGATTTAGGTAAATCTAAAATCCTGAATACTTGGACTTTTGGGGGCGGGATCTGGGTGTGGGTGCTTGGGTCAAGGGGAAACGGCGGATTTGGGATTTTTAAGATTTTTGGGTTTGTTTGGGATTTTTGGAGATTTTGGGGATTTTTGGGATTTTTTGGGATTTTTGGGATTTTTTGGGATTTTTTGGGATTTTTGGGATTTTTTTTGGGATTTTTGGGATTTTTTGGATTTTGATAATCCCAAAATCCAACACCAATATCCTGTTGAAGATACAGAAATTTCGAGCGGAAACTTTGTCCATATGTAGGCTTCGCAGTTCTTAAAATATTCTAGAAGTTTCAGCGCCAACGGATGTTATCTTCTGGAGATAATGCGATCGCAAGAAATACTCATATTTCACATCTTGGTCAGAAAATCCACTTTTATTGGACGTTGA